AAATTATATCTAGGCCATATATGTGTATATCAGGGAGATTATGTTGATAATATGTATCATATGATGTATGTTTAAACTTGATCTTTACGGCAACACAGCGCTTGAGTACTTATTCATAAACAATATATCTATTTAAATCTTTTTTTGTTTCTCTTATTTACATAATATTTGGTTTAAAGCCAATAGATCATGTGTATTGCTACATAATACCTAACCAGCATAATTTATTTCCCATGAAATGTTCTGTTCTGATTAATAAAATTGTGTAAATTTTATTAAATAAATTTAACTATTCATAATAAAACGTTTAAAATTTTAAATGTAAAAATTGGAAATTTCTTTGCAATATTATTTTGTCCCTTTTAATATTTTAACACAGAAATTGTAAAAAAAACCTTATACTCTTATTAATCTATTCTACAAGGTCAAAATGTATTCCGTAGTGAGTTCAACACACGACTCTCTTGTTTTTAATTTTAATGAATTTGTAAAATCAACTGTACATTAGCGTATGTTTTTCAAAGATGCTTTTTAGAATTTATTGCCAACGGCAGCATTAAGGAGCCGCAAAAATTAACGCAGTTTTATCTTTTTAAAAAATATAATAATAGCCATCAGTACCGATTTAATCAAAAGTAACGGAAGGGTATTTATATCCGCTTGTGAAAATCGCAGTTTTCGGCGATATTCATAAGTAAACTTTATTATTGCTGAAAAAAATTAACGTTTTGATGATCTTAATAATTACTTTTTACTGTTATAAATCTAAAAGTTCTGACGAGAAAACTAAACACGGTGATAGGTGCTGTAATGTTATTATGCAATCTTTCTGTGGTGACAGTGAGGGCACCACCCCGTGCAATACTGCTTGGCCCCACCCACGCCTCGCTCTATCGACCTGCGCAGGCTACTCGGGCCGTCGCAACTGGCTTGGAGACCGACCCGACCGGATTGAACCCCTATTCCCTCACCCCAACTGCGCGCCGAACCGTTTTATCCAATTCGACTCTTAGGCGCCGCATAGCCCCCTACCTCGGGACGAAAATATATTCGCGCTACACGCAATTTAGTTTTTCTGATACCGCCATTCTGACATAGGTTCTTTTCAATCAGAAAATGTACGAAATATTACATAACGTTATAAATATTTTGTAATTTATTATAAGCGTCATTTTAAATCAATCAATTGCTGCTCCATATTCTCACTGTTAAAAAATATTATGTAACCTTAAATAAAAATCAACTTTTATGGTACCTATTTATGTTAGCACTGTGTTCGATCGATTACTCTTAATCTTTTCTTATAAAATGTTTTTGGCGGGGGTTTTCGTCCTTAACACATCAATTGCATACTCAAATATGTAACACATCAGTATTAAACCTTATAATTCAGCTTACGCGTATATGTGCGTGCTTTCTATATTCGATTCCAGTATTCAAAAATTCATTGAATTGTAAAATATTATACTTTCCTCAACGGTAAGGTCGTGCATAACGCCAGGTGAATAGAAGATGTAAGTTAGGTTATCGAAGATCAAATTATACTACTAAATCAGAAGATTTTACATTATAGTACTAGTGGGCCAGAGAATTTTATCTTCCATAAAAACATCAGAGTATGTGTTTCTTCATGATATGCATGAAAGTAAGTTTCCATTTAAACAAGATATTCAAACAAACTTAAAATGTCGAAAATGTTGCTTAAAATGGCATATTGCTTTTTTGATAAAATTTCAGCTGCATAATTATGTCTGCTATATAATTTACTTTCCGAAATCATTATTACAATCCAAACGACAACATTTTGTGCAATATTTATTAAATAAGGTTTTTGTAATGGGACATATACCTACTTGATAGTGAATTTAATGTTTTACTAACTTCAATAATTCTGTATGCCTTGAATTGGTATTTATATTTTTAAACCGTTATTAAATTATTTTATTTAGTACTTATTGATTTAAGTTAATTTTGTCTTCGTCGAACTGATAGTATAGTTTAACATTAGCGCAAATAATTGATGTTTAAAGTACCTTCTATAACGGTAAGACAACCGTTTGCTGTAAACTCCGCGCGATGAACGGTACTGCACCACTGATTCAGCTCAAGACGACCGCTTTAAAGAAGTTCATTACTGAGAACTGCACTAAATGTACTTTGTACTCGCGAGTAGCGTTGACGTTTTCGTCATAAATTGTAATTTCTTTTTATTGAATTGCGTATTTTGGTTGCTTCTAATGGTTTACAATTACAATACGAAATTACGATTGCAGAATCCAATAACGGCGTTTTCAGACATGTTTTTTTATTTTTAATAGTAACTAGATTAAAACATTGATTTTAACAGCTTTTAGCTAATATCATTGATAATTTTTCATTGCACATATATTTTTCAAATATTTTGTTCGTTGTTTCACTTAAATATATTTTAAGTTAAGAAGGAGGACTGTAAATTAAAAAAAATATTTTATATATTTGTCATAATATTATCGTTGATAGTAAAACAATTTTGTGACGGGTGGCGTTGTTTTCTTAAATGTTTTTAATTACGGGGTTTTACAACACGCCTTCAAATAATCGACTAATAAATTTTCCGTCGAAGTGATAAGTTATATTAAGACGTAGGTGGTAAATGGCCTCATTTTACAAATACCTTCTTATCCTTAACAGATTTCACTATCACTATATTCTCTCAACGTTATAAGATATTAAAAAAATGTTATTGTTGATATGTATAAATAAGCTAAAATATAAATCGTTTAAAGCTTTTTGTTTTCCAAAAACGTATGAAAATATATCATCATATTGCGTTTTATAATTAAAACTTAAATCAATTTGTCCTAAACGTATATAAAACCTACGTATAAATAACATTAGTAGTGAACGTTATAAATATACAGCAGAATAATTTTAAACGGCCATTGCGAGTAAAACATATGAAGTAGTTATTCAGAAAGTAGACTGACGTCATCATGCCGGTATCTCTCCCTCCCCTTTCCCCTCATCTTACTGTTCGCTTCGGTTCGCGCCGTCGCCGTCGCTCCACTGCTAGTGCGGCCATGCTTTACACACAGACGCAGTGAGTCGGTTTCACACGGAAACGGGCACGGCGGGCGCGGCCATGTTGTAAGAGTAAGCGTGGCAACGTCGCACTAGACATCGACCGATTTAATCATTCTTTGGTGCCGCTGCTAAGTTTCTCGTTATCTATCTGACCACGTAATATTTTAAACATTGATCGGCTGCTAAATTTGTTATATATTTATTTATTGGTATGAAAAGTAGTTTATAAAGAAGAATGTTCATTTATTTCAACGTCAATATTATAAAAAATATCTTAATTAAATATTTTATTGTAAAGTTGTAGCCGTACGTAATGTAGGTCTAAATAGTGTAGCTGAGTTGTGTGGTGTGTGTGTGTGTGAAATGTGTATCATTGATCGGCACAGTACTAATATTTTAAATTGTAATTCTTGCGTTGTCCCAATAAGTGGTTCCATGTAAGGGCTAAAGAATACTATGTACAAGTATTACTTGGCGGTACATTCACTTATCTGATTATTTTCATATACCTAAAATAATTATTGATTTTCACTAATTACCATATCAATTTTTTTTTTAGTATTGTAATAATTAATAATTATCGTCTTATAATATTAAAAATAACTTTACGGGTTTGTTTCACGAAAGACTAAACAACATTAAGAGTTTTGTAAAATTGCACGGTAGATAAATGACTGTTGTAAAGAAAAATACTCCGGTGACTGGTAGGTAGAACGAACTGAACAGAGCGGCAACATCGCATGTTGTTCGATACCTCGATAAGAGCGGCAACGTCGCATTTTTTTGTTGTTTCACCGCGTCATGGAAACGCGCGGTGTGATCGACGCGGCAGACCGGCCACTCGCCGGGCATGTTTTATGAATACGTTTAGAGTAATTATGAAGGCAGTTATTTATTTTGAATTGTGACTTTGATAGCAAAATGTGAACAAGTTATATGGAGATATTGACTAAGTGTTCGTCACACGGAAGAAAACTGAAATGTGGCTATATCAAAGAAGGTGCAATTAGTATTTTATTATAAGAATATAACGATAGCATCATTTAAGGCCCATTTACACGGTGCCAGTTTCTTGCCTGTTGTATACAATTAAATTGAAGCAATAAATGAGTTGCATGGTCTAAACAACAAATGGTCTAACCAATTATTGCGCGCAATTTATTGCATTCAATTATTGTTCTTGTATGTACAAGAAAATGGCATCGTGTAAATGGGCCTTAACTCTCAAAAGATTTATTGAATCTTGAGCTTTGTGTTTACAAATTCAAAGAATAAAATATGTACTGTTAGTAAATAGAGTAAATTGATAGGTTAGCGACAACCTGTATCTTCAATGTATAATTTATTATAGTCAATAAGTCATTTCGCAGGAATCGAACCACAATATCAAGCGAATAGAAAACATTTCTTGTATTTTAATATGTTGTCAACTTTTATTTTGAAAATAAAATTAATAACACCAATAAAAGCCTAACAGAGCGGAGTTTTATAAGTAATCCTAATTTTCTCCTTACTAAAACAAGTGACAAAATGTAGTCATATATTAAAATTAACAAATTAAATTAATTATTGTCATAAAATCATAAAATTATTGAGTTTGTTTAATTATCATTTTTAAAAGTAAATCGGCAGAGCAATAAATTACTTTTCAATGAAGTTTATTATTAGTGCTAAACATGCTTGAAATTTCTGGGGACCACAGCAACAGTAGTGAGGACTACGGATAGCAAATAAACTGAGTTAGCTGTCTATTTTTTAATTATTTTATTTAAAACTTTATTTGCTATTTTTCTGTAAGCTGTGTAACTACTTCTCATCTTACCTTTTGATATATTTTTTTTTACTTCTCTTTCTTTTTTTTCTAATTTTCAAAATTATTTATTTTATTCTCTTTATCACTTGTTTTGTATTATAAAACTCAGTTTATTTCTTTGCAGCTATGGCCGAGTCCAAAATGTCAAGTTATTGGGTAGAATGGAAAACGCGAACGCAGGTGCGAACGGGGCGACCGTTACCGGTTTTTGCGCTACAGTTGCCTTCATGGACATCAAGTCTGCATCGAAGGCGCACAACGCGGAGCATGTGCTCGATGAGAGGACCCTCACCACGGAGTATTACGAGCCAGCGGCGATTCCATCGGCCGCGGGCGCGCCTTCGGCCGGCTCCTCGCCCGCGGGCTCCGGCTACTCTGGCTCATCGTCCTCCGTGAACTCGGCGCCGGCACCGCCCAACGTCACGCGCTACCATTTGTCGTGAGTATTTTACGTTTTTTTTTAATTCCCGATACAACTCGCCTACATGCCGTCTGCAGGTATCATGATTCTTATGCATCTGCATCTAAAAGTGATATAAATTTTTTTCTGTTGTAATTTTATGCACCTTATCATTATTGTTTGGCGTTTGGTCACGATTGTCGTTTGTAAGGAATGTCTTGACGAGCCTCTTTCTTTTGTGTTTGGAATGATATTAAAAATTGAAAATATTGTCAGAAATGAAGAACCAAAAGTTTTAGGTTTTAATGTACGTCCACAAGTTCCAAATTTGCCGTCGAAACTTTTTTATTGATTTATTCACAAAGAATGCTAAGTGTTTAATTTATTTATTTGAAATTCAGATCTATTTTTTTAATTGAATAAATAATCATTACGTATTTGTTTTTATGATGTTATGATACATACGATACAATATTAGTTAATTCTATAATATTGTTAATGTAAAAAAAAAATTCTTCCAATGTGGTTGTTTGAATTAGAAAATAATGTATAAGGTGCATGTTTTTAGTTTGATTTGTTAATTATTTTGTTATTCATAATAAACTAAATTTAACATGATTTTATATGAAACTAATAAGATATATTGTCTCATTTATAAATGATGTGTTGTACAAGGTCTATCAATCAAAAAATAAGAAGTGCGAATAATACATATATTAACAGTAATCACGTATATCAAATAACTGCAAGGAAATATTGACACCAGCCGTATATTTAATAAAATGTTAATTATTGGTCTTCTAATATTATCTAAATGATACGTGCAGATATTACTATGGTCATTCACTACGTAACTTGCCCACTGACGGCAATTTCGCTCCATATATCTGTGCCCAGTATTCTTAACCTAGCAAAACTTACATCTAATGCATTTTTTTCGTAAAAAACACCAATAAATCGCTTCATGCTTGCAATGATATAATAATTTGCTCACTATAAAATAAAGCATTGGGCATGTTCGTCATAGTCCTCGCACAAATAAAAATCGGTTCCGCCGCCGCCACCACCGCCACCGCCAGCGCCAGCGCCAAAATATTGATCTTGCTACCAACCGGCGTTTTAAGGATTGCAGTGTAATTTGGATTGCAGTGACAAACGCACCCGGAACAGTGACCAAGTGCAGTGATAATTTGTGCAAGTGAACGGATTGTTGTGTATATATAAGTGTCGTGAATTCGAAACGTTCATGCAAGCATTCATTGAGTAGATCCTGACGTACAAGATCAATCCGATGTCGAAATAATCGTGGCTGGCGGCGGTCCCAATTTCGTTTTATATGCACATAATCTAACGCTGTGTAAAAATATTAGTCTATATAATTGTGGTCATAACAACACATCTTATATTGTAAGAGGTAACATACTTTTTCTCTGCGTTTTTTATTCTAAACACAAAAAGTAAGTTTTTCCATGTTCCACTAAACAATAACGTTTTATTTATCACCAAGTTACCGACGTTTTGGAATTCAAATAATAATAATTAAATCGAAATAATGTATTTAATTTGTTAGCAGTTCATCATCCTTCAGGTTGAAAGCATTCTTTAGTAGTTGCAATACTGTTTTGTGTATACAGCTGCAATTGTTTCATAGTTATTAAATTATTTAAGTTTTTTTATGTGTAAAGTTGCCAAACGAGCAGACAGTTCACCTGATGGTAAGTGAATACCGCCGACCATGGACATCTGCTACACCCGAGGGTTAAAGATGCGTTGATAACCTTTTGAAAATTGGACTCCGGCTTCCTCACTCACCAGACGAAACGCGAAAATATATGTCATACTTCCACTTTACGCTGGTATTCTGTGAGGTCGTGGTACTTACCCGGACGGGCCTGCCCATTCGTGCAACAGCCGAGGCTGGTGCGTGGCCGTACCACCGTTAAATCTGATCAAATTAAAAGTCAATCAAATTAAAGTATCTGATTCAAATTAGCAATACAAAAAGGTTGTTGTGTATATTAATATATACCTTATATATAACAAATATAGATACTTGCGAATTTGAAAAAGTTAAATTGACAATTAAGTCATTTATGTATAATTTCTTATAAACTGCCACCAAATGTAAGTAACGTGAAGTCATGAGTCAAAGGACCGTTACCATTAGAATAATAATAGCAAAACATTTTCAATGTTAACCAGAACGGCAACGGTGTCCATATATATACGCAATTGGCAAGTATCCATGAATAACCAATACTATTTATAGGGGACGCAAATTTGAGATATGTCATTATGACGCTTTAGTGCAACGGAAATAAAAACCAGGCTGAATTGACCATAAACTTATAAAGAATAAAGCAGTGGTTTCTGTTTACTATTCAGTATTTTTTAAAAATTTTAGTGATTCAAATATTTCTTTTTTTATAGAAGACCAAACTTAAATTTAAAATCTTTTCGATAATAGGGAAAACTCATCGATTTCACATAACATGAGCGTTATCTTGTAAGAATATAGATTCATTAAAAAAAATAAAGTAACATACGGTGACTACTATTCCTTATCAACTTGATTGATTGGTAATTTTATGAATAAATTTCATATTCCACATGCTTTATATGGCTTCGAAATCATTACATTTATTTTTTGACGGGCCGTATTATATAATTATTAATAATAAATATTTATCTGTAGTATTTAAATACCTACTTATGTATGTCTCTTTTTAATATCCGAATAATTTGAAATTTTCGAAATAGTCTTAACTGTAGCTGTTGTAACATGCTTATTTAATTACATTGTCTTATTTATATTATTTAGTGTATGATGATGAGTATATGATTACATTTACATTATTTGGAATATTATAATTGTAAAAATGAGGACCTGGTGATCTGTAATACAGGTTTTTTACACCTGTAATAGACACCAGCTCCGCACAATTACCTGATTAAATTTTTTACTGAACCTGTACCAAATTATGATATTGTATCTTGTTGTCATGTATTGTGAGGAGAAATAAATACATTATTATTATTAATTGTGAAAATAGTTGAAGCTGCCAAAATTTCCAGCATTTCCGTATTTTATCAATCTTAGCTACAAATAAATATATTTCAAATTTACCATTTGCGAATGAATCAAATGAAATCAAAATAAAACATATATTTAAATAAATTTTAGAATAGGTTCAGTAGTTAAAAAAATCCTATAATATAAGAGTAAAAGTAAAATAATAACACATCCCCGCATCCATTAAAAACGTGGACCAAACGAAACGCGAAAGTCAAACACTTCCACTTCACGCCGGTGTTCTACGAGGCCGTGGTGCTTAACTGGATGAGCTGGTCCATACGTGCATCAGAAGCCTTGCCACAGTTAGGAAGTACCTATATTCTAAAAGGTTTTATAAATATTGATTCCGTTTGCTGCCATGACAACATAAATTTGAGAGGGTTTGTTGGTCTGTCCATTTCACGCTACAACAGAATAACATATCTATTTGTACAGGAATAGTTTAATAACGCATTTCGTAGATATTTATCACGCAAGAAAATGTACCTATAATTGCTGTAGAATTAATCTGTAGCGTAATTCTAGATCTTAATGACATATTCACTGATATTTATTTGCGAAGCTGTGGGTAAGCGGTTTTCTGTTGGATTATAAACTCAATTGAAACGATCCACAACTAAAGAAATTTTGATTTATGACATACATGTACAAATCTTGTGTTTCTCTAAGCGTTCAGAAATCTTCGCTCCTTGGGAACCAATACCCCGATCCAGAACAGTGATTTTGGGTCACATAAATACCCATGTGAGAAGCGAAGCCATGAAAATTATTGCTGATGTTCCAACACCTATATGATGACAATGTCTTTGTTAACGGTTATTCATCAACGGTTAAGTAAATTATTAAAAAATATCTGATTAGACCTTCTTACGCGGAAGTAATTCTTCATGCATCTATTATTATATTATTGCGTACAGAGTAATAACCTCATTGTTTCACACTGAAATAGTGGTAGCACGTGTACCACTACTGACCCTTAGGCATTTCCGAAAAGAGATTTGTAGATTAAACTGAGTATTGTATAATTATAATTGTAACAAATCGGTGTTACATTGTTGTGTTGACCATACGATTATAACAGACATTCGTATGGCAATCTTCGTACAATATGTAAATGATATTAAATAGTGATTTGTGCACGCAAAAATCATAGAACAGAAATCCGTTGCCGCCTAATTACCGCGTAACGCGCGTTCACGCGGCAATTACGGTATGTCCGCGATTGAGTAGAGTAGCAACAATAAAGAAAACTCGAGTGTTATTCAACATTCTTTTATTAGCTAGATCTGTTCTTATATATGGTATAAATCAATTATTGTAATTAAGTTTTTTAAGTCCACTTTTAAGATATTCTAAATAGATAATATGTAATACTCATGATGATGAGCTGGTTATTCCCATATAATTTCTAGCCAATGAATGGTGTTTTTGCGAGTTCCATACCCAAAGCGTGAAACGGGACCCTATTACTAAGATTCCGCTGTCTGTCTGTCCATCCGTCCGTCACCAGACTGTATCTCATGAACCGTGATAGCTAGACAGTTGAAATTTTCACAGATGATGTATTTCTGTTGCCGCTATAACAGGAAATACTAATATACTGTTATGGTACGGAAGCCTTCGTGCGCGAGTCCGATTCGCACTTGGGCGGTTTTATCATTTCGTCTTTTAAATGATTCTTTTATTCGTGCGACAGTGAGAATATAAAGAGATAAACGATATTGATATTTAAGCGATATTATTGTTACATATTATAAGGAGAGTTTAATATTCTTTAGAATTTATAGTATGAAGTCTAAATATTATCGTAATAGCGTACTTAGATTTCGAATGACTTCGTGACCTTGAGATGTGACCTCGATTTAGTTTGATAGTATATTGATATTTTAATGTGGTAAATGGATGAAATAAATTACAATTGATTGAAAATAGTTTAATGCAGATGATGTTCTAAGTTAAAGTTT